GTTTGATTAAGTTAACACAATAAGCACACCGACAATTTCTCCTATCATTTGGGCCATGTGAAAGTATTAAGCACCGTAATTTTGCAGAATAGCTCATCAAGTCTAGAAACTCGGACAAGTTAGAAATGTAATGGTTTGAAAGTGGTTCTTAATTTTCGGAGCAACCGTCAATATGTGACTTATAAGTCGAAGGTCAGTATCTATACTGACTGTCTACTGACTTTCACACCACAATCTTCAAGGGTCGTGGTGCAACATAAAGTTGTTAGCCCGGAAAAGAAGCTATTCACTTACATATACCCACCCACCCCCCCTCCCCCTCCGCTTCGTTGTATCAACAATCAGACAAGTGGATAGCAAGCAAAACGAGCGAAGAAAAAAAAACAAACCAGCTTAATGATTTTGATCAGCATCCAATTGTTGCTCGACGTTGTCATTAGTTTGAAAAATACCGGCGCAAGCGTCAGATAATTCTTTGGATTTTTGCGAGCTAGTTCACATATGACGTTGACAGCGGCACTTTGAACACCTGAAAAGATTCACTCAATATTACGAAATGTAAGACTTGCAATCAAGTAAGCCCAGATAACTAATCCCCAACTCTCGGCTTGAACTCACCGGGATCAGGATCTTCGAGTTTGTCCTTCAACCGCTGGAATGTCGGCCGCAATGCCTCTGGGTATTTCAAAAATATTTTATACAACAGGAGAACGGCTCGTTTTCGAGTGTATGGGCGTGACGAAGAAAGCTAAATTAGATTAAAGAGGACATCATTGGAAGCTTACAAATTTAGCTGCTCTAGAAAACTCACGAGATTAACGATGTCACTGGCGAGATCCCGCGCCAGATCCGGAGTTACGAAACAGGAAAGACCACCCAATGCAACACCCGAATCGTACATGTTGGAGCTTGAAGCAAAAGTTTCAGATTCTTGAAAAGCAATAGAAGACAATTGAGAAGAAATAAGAAAACACGGCTTTACAACTTCAACAATTACAAAAGGGCAATTTACCTATTAAGATCTTTGCGAATCAAGTTTGTGGTTAGCATAAGGACGTCCGTAGTATCATGAAAACATTGAGCGGCAGCAAGATAGCTTTAAAGCACACATTAAGAATCTTGCCGAATAAAATTTGACAGTAACACAAAACTAAAGGCACCAACCCTATTCGTTTTTCAGTGTATTTCGTAGAAGCCATTCACTTCAATAACATTGAAAGCGGCCCATGAAATATCGTACCCTAACATTTGCAACTGAAATTGAATAAATAAGGTAACGTTTAAATCATCGCCTATTACTCCACCGGTTTAGCAAACTGCTTTGGCCTTGAAAACAAATCTGATAACTTCTGTAAAGAGATGACTCTAAATGAATCATACGATGTTTTACTGATGCTGTTATGGGGGTGATGCTATCGAACATGCAAACCCTTCTCATCTATCAATGAAGTCTAGGAAAAAAGGTCGAAGAGATTAGATCGAGAACTCACGTATGCGAGCTTCTCGATGGCATTCGCTTTGATGTATGTGGAGTCTTGACGCAGTTCCATTTTAATCTCCTCGATGCATGACGCAATGTATCGAGCCTGAACAATAGAGAAAAGGGGCATATTTAAGAAAATTGATAGCATACATACTATACGGTGAAACAGTTCCCATAAGCCGGAACTGGCAGAAGCAATTGTTCCCTTGAGGAGGGGGTAGGTCGCAAAAGCACATTGATTATTTTGCATGTTACAAGGAGGAAATGCTTAGAAAATGTCCAAATTGTCCCGAAAGTCCTCAGGACACGCCTTCGCACATGGAAAGATGTAATGGGGAACGCTACCGCCACTGCCTGATTTTGTGTAATTGCAATGTCGCACCGGCCATGGAAGCAGCAAACGCCTGAAGATCGCCGTAGCTGCGGTGCTTATTTTCATCCCTCAAATTAGGACAAAACTGGCCCGCTTCCCAGCCCCGGGTTGAAAGAGGCTCCGTTTACCTCGTGTTTCGACCGCTTCTCTTGCGAGTTTTTTATAGAAGCACCATTTGGCACAAATGCTTTCACACTTCAACGGTACCACCTTATCGCGAGAGCTGCCTCTAGCAACAGACTTTCAATAAAATTTAGATACGAATCTTAAGGACCTCATCAAACTACGGCGCCTTGCGCGCATTAGCATCTAGTTACATTGAAACACTCGGCTTTATCACCTTCTCTTAATTTACCCAAATCTTCTGAACATAGCTCTTCAAGGTATATAATCTACGGACAAAGTGGAGCGAATTGGAGGGAGCCGTGGTGATAGATATGGGAAGTTACCATTCATTTGAACGATGACAACGATGAAATGACACATTACTGACCCTTCACGAACTCGGATTGCCTTGATATTAACAAGAATATGCTAACAATCACAGAAACACACCTCATTTTCCTTGTTATTCCGGATACCACGTATCAGGTCTGTGAGGCTTTTGTCGAACAACCTGTCAAGGTTGCTGCGCACCTTGCGCAGCGCCATGTGTTCGAACCTGAAAAAGGGAATTGGTTTATTTTTGTCCATAACACCATAAAGGAAAACATCGCCATACAGACATAAGAAAGACGAAACTAATTATAAAGCAACGGCAAAAAGTAACCTTGATAACCTTGAATTGCTCGCCTTAAGAAACAAGGTTCTTTCATTGAGCTTTGGAGGAAAATATACGGTGGAATATTTCCACAGAAAATGGATTTCTACACAAAAGGCATTTTAGGTCAACCAAGCGAGAGCGCTGTGATGCAAAAGCCTTCGCCGGTTATGGTAATACCAGCTTAAGAGGAAGGAGATTCACCTACTCTAAAGCTTGATCATCCTGCAAAAATTGTGATTAAGGTAGGGGTAAATAACTACAGCACTGCATAATGTCCGGGACAGTCGCGGCATTCCAAATGAATGGACCATGAAATGTGTTCTATTGACTTCGTTTTGATGTACATATATTGAATAGGCCCTTTCCCGAATAATATTTGACTCCAAGCTGCTTGGGCAATTCTCATTTCCCTCAGCATTCCTGCCACACCCACGCCTAGTCCTGGAGGACGCCCCCCCCCCACCAATCTTTCGTCGAGCACCCTGCTCCGAAAAGGTGAAAAAGGCTAAGACTTCCGAAAAGTTCTGAACGCGTAGCGATATCCGAGTTCTCACCCGGAAGGAGGCATGTGGTCGCGTTTACACTCGATATCCGAATGTTGGGGCAGGCGTATCACTGGAAGTGACGTGCACTTGATAGAAGCCATGGTGGGGAGGCTGCTTCCAACATACATCGCTGGATATCAGCAAAGCATGCTGACTCCAGCTTATCCACGCTACTT